GGCTTTCATCTCATTGCTATGACTCTACCGCAGAGCAACCGTGCTCAGGTGCCACAAGCACTGTTTTCAAATCGCATTCCACTGATGACATGCCGCCAGCATGAGTAATAACTCCCACATGAATCTGTCAAAAGACACGCTGCTGAACCCCCGCAGCCACATCCAGACAACCCCTCTCACTGAGAATCAGGACGGCTGTGTTTAATGCATTCACACACAGTCCGGATTCTCAGTAGCTCCTTTGATCTTTCAGCGGGGATGAAGAGAGAACTACTGTTACTCCCAAGGAGTTTCTTGTTGTGTCCAGTGCACTTAGCAGCAAGTTTTACATTTACATTTACATTTAGTCATTTTGCAGATGCTTTTATCCAAAGCAACTTACAATTTGGGGATACATAAAGCGATTCTTCTTAAAGAGGCAAACAGATACAGGAAGTGCTTGTAATACCAAGTTTCTAGACATTGTTCAAATAAGTACAAGCTAGAAAGAGAAGGAATAATTAAAGAGAGAGAATTTTTTTTTTTTTTTTTTTATAATGATGATGATGAAGTCAAGTAGCTTCGAAAGAGATGAGTTTTCAGCTGTCGCTTGAAAATTGTCAGGGATTCAGCATTCCGGATAGGGGTGGGAAGATCGTTCCACCAGCCAGGAGTGGTGAACGAGAATGTTCTGGAGAGTGATTTTGTTTTAGTCTAGTAAGTTTTAAATCTTAAGTTTTAAATCTTAAGTGTGCTAAAGCCACAGACAAGAGAAGAATTTTGAGGCTCTCAAACAGTAAAATCAGACTGACTAAGGTCATAAACAGTACCGGTCAAAACTCTGGGGTTTTGGGTCTGTTTTCTGTCTTCTTCTTTTTTCTCTGAAAGAAACTGCATTTATTTGATTAAAAATACAGTAAAAAACAGTAATATGTAAAAACATAACAAATTTCTTTAGTGTCACTTTTGATCAATTTGCACTGTTGCCAAATGAAAGTTTTAATTTCTTTCAAAAAAGGAAAGCCTCCGTTATTGTGGGAGACTCTTCTCATCCCATGTATAGTCCTTTCCAGTTACTTCCCTCTGGCAGATGGTATAAAGTGCCTTTAGTGAAAAGGGCCAAGTATAAGAAGACCTTTATCCCAACTGTGATTAGCATTTTAAATGTGATTTTTTAAAAATGTATTATTATAGTTGTGAAGTAATGTATGTAATGTAAAGTGTTTGTGATGATTATTTGTATTGGTTGTGTGTTGAGCCTTTTGTCTAAAGACAATTTTCTACCCCATTTGGGATAGACAATAAAGCTTTTGAAAATTGAAAATTGAAATTGAAAAAATCTGAAGAAAAAAAAACATTTAAAGGTTTAAACATATTTTAAAGAAACATTACAGCATTCACGAATAAGACATTTTTTAGACTATTCACTATTTCTAGGTCGTTTTTTTCACTATTACTCCCTCCTGATGTTTTTCTTTCGCATACCTTATCATAGTTATATATATTTTTTTATAATAATTTGTACTATACTTTTCAATACTTTAATTCATAAAGTAAGACTGCAAGTTTTAGTATAAATTATCAATAATCAACATTAACATGAAAATTATCGCTTTAGTCAAGCGCCCTCCCGCTGATTCTCCAAATGACTATAAAATGCAGTTTATGTTTGAAGATTGCCCATTAAAACACCACCTTAAGGCATGACAATACAGACACACATTCACATGAGCACATCCCCCTCTTGCCTCTAAGTGCATGTCTGTCAAGGAGACCCTGTCGTTTTCTTCCTCTCTTATATTAGTATGGAATGTGACTGTTTATTGCTAAACATGGTGCTGTTGTTGTGTTTGAAGCTAGTGTGGGTTTCTGGTAAGACTGGTAGCTTAAGTAAGAGTGTTTTTCATCAGCTAATAGGACTTCAGCAATGTCACCCCTGTGCACACTTGGTTACCAAAATCCACAGCAACATGTGCAATTCATTGTTTCAATCCGAAAAACATGCAAAGACATCATAGCGTCCCAGACTCAAAGATTCAGACTGGTTTTACGATTCACACATTTTCCAAGCCACTGTGTCTGTGACACAACAGTGACCCTGGATTCCACCTATCAGTGGAGATGAATGAGTTTCAGTGTTATTCTTTCTGTAATTGGTGAAAACAAATAAAGATTACCAAGCCTCATGTCAATGGAAACATCTTTAGTGGACTGCTTAATTTTTCTCTCTTATTGCACAGCATTATGTTGCTGAGAACACTCCAATAATCTTCTGAATGCTCACATTAGTAGTTCATGGCAAGATTAAAGTATCTGAAATTCTTTGTCAATAATAGAGTTTGGAAACAGCTCCCTGTCCCTCACCGTCACCCTGCAACTAAAGTTCAGAATCCATTGGTGTAAGTTTCTTTTGAACATGAACTGACAAGTTAAAGAGGAGTAGCACCACATTTTCAGATTCATGTTCTTTAAAGGTATGCGTGTTTGCATGTGGACTGTGTACAACGCATCTTACCCACATTACAAATGAGTTTGCAGTCTCTGTTGAATGTGATGCAATAAAAAGACTATTTATGCACAGAAAAACAAACATTCAGCTTGACCAATCTAGTCTGATTATGAATCAACAAATAACTCTTATGAGTGCTTTTAAGTGAATCAAAACCATACAAAGTGACCAATTTTGCATGATTCGTCAATAAATGACTCCTATGAGACAGTTCTTTTCAGTAAATATAAAAAAGAGTGACCAATGTACCATAATTCCCAAAAAGAATGACTCACGAGTTTGTTCTTTCAAATAATCAGTTTACAAAGACAAGTTATCCATTTGTCTCAGTCTGAAACTTTTTTAAATATAATGTACAGCATTAGTAGAGCAACAATGTCTTTCACATACAAGCAAGCAAAACAGAAATTATAACTAAAATATACCCAAATGATTCAGAATCAAATCAAATGGGATCCAAACTGAATCAAATCAGAAAAATATGTATGGAAACAGTCCAATAGTTTTATTTTGCTTTGTAATATTGTGAATATCAAGTGGATGTTTATTCACATGCTGTTCTGAGTCATTTAGTTTAGTTACTGATTCAACCTTCTACTTAATTTACTGGCATTTCATAAGAGAGAGAGAGAGAGAGAGAGAGAGAGAGAGAGATACATGATTTGGGATTTCAGTCTCTTACAAACATTGAGGGGGACACACCCCCTCCTGTAGATTGGTCACTCTCGAGCTTGATGTGAGGGTTAAAAAAAAGTGTCCAGAGCTTTGACTCAGCCAAAGGGAGAGGCATTTCCTGATCCAAACATGACAGCATAGATTCTAATGAAACAACCCATCCGCAAACAAAACCCACCACCTATTCTCTGGAAAGCCCTGCAAGCAGCACATTTCTGAGTGGCATCAGTTCTGCTAGATCAATCAGCGACCCAAAAACAAAAGAGAGAGAGAAACTGAGGTTGGAAACAACTTGGTCAATAAGCAACTGGAAAAACCTCGCATTTTTACAGCATGGAAAATGAATACATAGAAAAGAAGCCATCACGTTGACCAAATCATCCAAGACAGACTCTCAACAGGGGAGTTGGTGCGAAACGGCCACCACAACAGAGTTGTAGCGTGGGTGATGTATGGATAGGTTGGACTACTACACAAACTATGAGTAGGCTGATAAATATGTTTTAAATAACAGTGGATATGAGTTTTCGCAGTGGCCGGACTATACATCATACTGTTTTAAAGGTTCGTGCCTATATCCTTTCCTAGAGCGGTTTAGCTTTTGATAGGTCGGTTTGAGTTATGGCACTCACTGCGGCTGTGCTTGTGTTGTAATAGCAGAGCAGACGGGCGTCCGGAAATCCAGTCCAGTGAAAACGGCTGCACCTCATGAACACACTTCACACTCCCCACACCCAAAACTGTCCCACGAGCAACACGTTGGAATGTGCCACTGAGAAAGCACTGTGACTGTCTGTCTCACACACACTCAACTGAGTGGGATAAAAAGCCACACATGCAAAATTAATCAAACATGCAAAACAAGTTGTAGCACCACATTAGGAACAATGCTTGTCCTTGCACAAACATCACATCCACTATATCTAATATGCATCTTTTTTGTAACGCCTACATACATTTTTCATCTACAACATTGAACATGATTATTTATTAAAAAATAAAATAGAAAAAACATTAAATATGTATTCATAATATTTACTTTTCAACAACTGTTAGGAAAGTTAGGAATACATAAACTGTTTAAAAAAATTGAAAAATTAAAAAAAATTTATATTATGTTAAATATATTACATTTACACAGGATATATTTTTATATAACATATACTCTTTTTCCTCTCATATACAATTATAAATCATATAAAAAATAACATTTATGAAAAAATATATATATATTTCAAATATTTAATCAAATAAGGTTAGATGTGTCTTATGAAAACATCTGAAAAACACTACATCCTATATTGACAGATGAAATGCTTTCACCAGGGGGCGATATGGGAGACAAAGTTGGTGGTACTTCTTTCTAAATTATTTTAAAATGCAAAAGCGCCAAACATAAGAACAAATACTGAAGAGATTTAAGTACAGATCTATTGTGTTGTTTTCAAAACATTTCTTTTTCTATTGTAAAAAACTGAAGTCAAACTAGATTCTCCCACTTGCTTTAAAGTAGAATGAAAAACATTACAAGTAAACAAAACGTCTAAGAATATTAAGTTAAGTCTAGTAATAAGTATAAGCTGGTGATTCATCAGTGAAACATCACTGCCAACGCCCCTTTCCTCACAAACTCTCTTCTCTTCAGTTTATATTTTCAGGCAATAAATGCTCAAACACATTAAAAACGCCTGTTAGACAGCAATAAATCAACTGCCTACTTACTCCAGCCAGTCTTTTCTAGACATCAAAGATGCTGTGATCCTCTCGAAGAGTTTTATGACTCGCTTAAAAACTGTCTGCATGCATGTAGAATAAGTTACTTATGATTCACACTCACCGCTGAAGAGAAGCCTAAAGGGTCAAATATTGTATAGTTTGGAGAGGGCAGCCAGATGTGGAGATGAAGTGATGCAAGCATGAACGTGACTGCGGGGTAAACGTAGTAGTAGTGAAATGAGGAAAAAAGTGCGTGCTCCTCCTCTCCAAAATCCTGAACAGCCCAGAACTCTGGTTGGGTGTGGTCTGGAACTCAATGCGTGCTGTGCTGTGCTGTGCTGTGCTGTGCTGAGGAAGGGAGGGAGGGGAAGCTTTCTGGAAGCATTAGGTGTTGACAGTATGCACAAAATTCATTGTCGAATGCTTCCTTTTGAATCTGGACTAGGTTTACTTTGACTTCAGAAGTCAACATCACATGTCATTTGTCCCAAAACGGCCCGCTCAGAATGTCTCGCGCATCTACTTTTCCTCTTATGCTCAAGTGATTTCGAAGGAGAGTGTGACAGATTTGGTTGGTGGTTTGTGTGTGTCTATCTATATGTGGTTCTCTGTGGTGTTGAAGAAGACCAAGAGTGCAGAGGAAAGTCTTAGCCTGTTCCTGACGGGAACTGAGAATGAGGCCAGCGGCAGGAAGAGTGGAGCAAGAACATTTAAGGAAACGGCTTCGACCCACAAATTCAGCCACTGAATGCTCAGCTACCTCTCCCTTGTTCTTCTAAACAGCTGCTTCTGTGAACGTCCAGATGGCTATCCAGATATAAAATATCTGCAATATTTGTAGTTAAGTACATATAAACATAGATAGGCACTGTGTAGCTATGTATATTTATAACTCCACTATGCATATTTATTATGTAACAGAGCTATATTGATATACACCATTGTTTTATGCCATCTGCAGCCATCTGCAAATATTTGTCTATTCATTTCATGTGTGCTCCTCCCTTTTGCATTACATCCCCAGGATTCTGGCTCCCTGGGTTTCCTGAGTGTGTGCGTGTGTGTTTATGAGATCTAAGCTAGTTGACTTTATGGGTTGACTGGATTGATTGGCTTTCTCTCTATTGGACTGGATTGATTGTACTTTCCTTTCCGTAAACAGCTGTTGATGTTACAGGACATGCGGTTACAGGACCAAATACGAAAACCTTCATTTTACAGGAAAATCAAATCACCAACACTATTAAGTCCTAAAAATGTACAGTGAGATTCTACATTGAAAGTAAGTGATTTAAAAGTTTCTGAAATTTTTTACATCTCAAAAAAAAGTTATGATATAAAGTAGAGAAGAAATATTTAAGATTCTACGCTTTTTGTCTAGGTCATTTACACAAATATGCAACACTAACCTTGCTAACACTTTCTAGATTTCTCTTTTTGCAATAAAAGTACTCATTCTAACGACTCAAGTTAACATTTATAGCAACCCCTGACATGCCTTTATCATCTATGGGGGGTTCAGAAAATTCTTTGAAACAAATCCTGTCTCAGTCTCAATCAATGGTTCTACTTATTTACAACTTGAAGCATCAGGCATGTATTTTTTATGCTTAACCTGGTGCCAAAATTCTTACAATGGAATCGGTAACTAACAATGTAAAACTCCATTTTAGAAAGAAGAGTGAGTTTCCAAGCATGCAAACTCCACTCTTGAGTCAATGCATTCCTCTTTTGTCGCTCAGCTGTCATTTTGTGTATTCTGCAGTGATTACAGAGCAGACAAACTTTGCTCATGCTATATTCACATCCACGGTGGCTTTTGATGTGCCATTGTTCAATTAAAGACAGCAGAAATACAACTAATAACCTTTGGAAAGCGTTGCCAAGAGAAATTCCTATGAGCCGTTTTTACTCACAGCCCACATTTATGCTGCACAATGCATACAAGAACAAACAATACCTACTTGATCATATCACGCAGATGAAAACTGGTTCTTTTTTGCCTGCCTTGCAAAAATTCAGCTGTGTGTGCTTTTGTTGACAAAAATATTCAATCACAGAGGGATGTAATACACAATTTAATGCAGTAAAATCTGTATTTATCATCAGACCTTTAAAAAAACGTTTAAACAGCAACATTTTTGGAGTAAAAGTTACAACTGCTAGGACATTGCTAGATGCCATAAATGTCATAATAAAATACTTAAATCATAAATAAAATAATATTGCAGTGCATTAAAAGTGAAGTGTGTAATTGCTGCACAACTAGCATCACTAAATCCAAGTTAAGCCCACTAAAACCGGCCCCAAAATCACAACACGGATTAAGCCGATGTTGCTGTTTTGGGCAGCTCAGACTTTTTGCCAAATCACCCTATCAATGGCTCATCTAAAAGTTACACCCATCACATCTATGCTTCGTTTACATTTAAAAAAGGTTCTGGATTGGATCAGACATAGCAGGTTTATGTGCTCAGACTTTGTGCTGGATGCCTGGATGCTTCTGGCTCAGTCGGTGCAGTGATGTGGAAATTCTGGAGATCCAGACAGCTGTGAAACAGCGGGGTCTCTGAGTCCAGTATGTGGAATCATTTTTGTTTATAGTCTATCAACGATCCATTGTACTTCCAGGTCACAGGCTCCTCCCAGCTTATCACGATTCTCGAATATAATTTTTGATGAACCAGTGGAACAAGAAACTGTCTCTGAGTTAAAGCTGAAGTGTGTCATTTGTCAAATTACAAAAGCAATGACTGTTTTCAAACAGGTTTCCTGAACATATGGTCCTGCCCCCACTGTGATCCCATTGGTTAAACCAGTGTTGCTATGTTGGGATGGTTGGAATGTTCAAACAGCAATGTTTTGATAGTGCCACAATGTGTTAAACTTTTTGGGGAAATCAGCCTATGAAATTAATTATCTATTATTTAAGTGGTCATTCACATTTTAAACAGCTCTAATGAAGACCATATCTATATGTTCTTAGGTGGGTGTTTTCTTCACTGTGAGTGTGAACAAACTTAACGGCCTGAATAATCAGGATTCTTGAGCAGCCGGGGTGAAAAAGTGCAGAGGAGGAAGGTCAGAAGCTGCAGGCTGTTTTGGAAAGAATGCTGAGGGTGATGACCAGATCACAGGTGGAGAAGTACGGTAGTAAAACCCTGGGGGCTGAAGTGGGTTGGATTACCATATATCTGAACTTTTTAAAAGCAATGAGTCAGTTTGTTTCCATGATAAAGAGCTTGTTTCCTTATGTGTAGATAAGTTCACCTAATTTACCATATATGCAAAACTCCATATCACAACCAACAAGGAACAACATACAAAAAAAATAAATAAAAGTCTTATAGCTAAAAGCATTCAAGTTGTGCAGGCATGTGCTGCCACTCATTTTAAATGCCAAACAGAATATACAGAATATACCTATATAAATTCATGTTTTATTACACTTTTTAATTGTAATTCAGAATAGTATATTTGATAATAAAATTAATAGTTACAGTTCATTTTAAAAGAGAAAATATATGCATGTTTCCATTTGTTTGCCAGTTCAAAAAAGTAATAAAAATATCAAAAGAAAAAGTTGTAAAATCAAGTTCTTAAAGCAATTAAAATGTTAAATAATTGTTATTATTGCTGAGAAGCTGAGTTGGTCTTAAACTCTAAGCATGGAGACACCGCCCATTTGCTCGGGGGAAAATGGGGGGTGGGATATTTTGCAGCACATGTTTTCCATACAATTTGCATTTCATCTTTCGTTCATTTGTTTAAAACGTGTTACCCACAGGAGAGCATTTGAGCAGAGGAGTCAAGAGCTCTCCAACCTCATGACAGAGGCTCCTCTTTCACACTGACATAAGCAGACTGGATTGCTTTCTCCCTGTTCTGATTAAGCTCAAGCTCCCTCATAGCCCTTCAGAAGTGGAAGGAAATTAAGGCAAAAGTGGCCTTTGTGATGAATATGAATGAAAGGTTTATAAAAGCTCTCTAATTGTGCCCAAGCTTCTCGACAGAGTCTAGTTCCTGTCTGTTGTTGGAGCAGTTTTCCTTGTGCCAGCCCAACTGATGATGTGGGCTTCTGGCCAATGACGCAAGACCACACCTTCTGAATCAACAGACCTCAATAACCTCGATAAAAATAATTAAATATACTGTAGGTCAATAAACTTACAGTGAATTGGAGTAAATTGGTCCCATCTTAGATGAATGACCACCTGGCTTGAGCAACATTCAAAATATAAGAACTTGCTTCTCAATAGACAAGTCGGAATTCACAGGATGTTGAAGTGGAATTTCATATGGAATGACAGGAAGAGGAATTTAATGAATTGCAATTCAAACAAATTAAACAGTCACACAATGGGGGGATTTCAAAAGTCCAACACGGCAACAAATTAGCCAAGAACTTCTATTGTTCTGTAATCCTGCTTGTTTGGCATAGCTGTTGTTTGCCGTAGCTGTTTAACACAAGAAATCCACAACGATATGCATTCAGACAAAATGTAATTAGGCTATATAACGAAGGTAAATCTTCATTGTTACACTGTAATGTGAACGTGAATTAACTGACAACATGAAATCTGTTCAGCAAAATCTACGTTGCTATAGTGTAGGTTCAAATGTGTTCTTTTTGCCAGAACAAAATTTTCACAACTTGCATGAACTGTCTTTTTTTTTGTGTGTGTGTGTGTGTGTGTGTGTGTGTGTGTGTGAGAACCAACAGTCTCTCCTAAATTTTAATTAATATTTAAATTCTACATTCCACATCCTGTTTGCTTGCTACATTGATTTAAAATGTCATAACTGAACTGGACTTAAAAGGTAAACTGCACACACTCCTGATTGACTTGCAAAACTTGCGACAAGAAGCAGAACCTCTTTATCTTCTTGTTATCGCTGACGGTGGTCAGAATATTGCTGAATTACACTGCAAGCAAACTTCTAACACACCTTAATTTATTCAGCATTCAGCTATATTGACTCTGTGAAGAATGTCTTTCACACTCTTCAAGTGTCACAATAAAAATCCATTGGCAATGATCTATCATTGCTGATGTGATTTGTAAGATGGGAGTGTGTTTGCACAGCTGTTTGAGGTCACTGCAGTCAATCCTCCCCGAGGCGAACATCTACTGCTGCCTCCTTCAATGTGACTGATGATCTAGTACCCCAGTATACACACCCTAACATCCTACAAGACTCCCTGTCTACAATATTCTAAGAGGGAAAACTGGTATGTAGCTGGTAAGGAAATGCATGTC